AGGTGCTGCAGTTTTATAGACGAGCAGCAGAGACTAAACTCGGGTCTCCTGGATCTACTCCCACATTCTTGCCATCTTTAGGTCACAGGCTTCTCATCAGGGATTATCCTCCCTGGGACAAGTCCCTGCACATGGAAGTGCTTCCAGCTGAGGGAGGGCAGTCAGTCTGGCTCCTAGGTCTCGAAACTCTGGGGGTGGGGGGATGGATTGACTCCTGAATCCCAGGGCTTCATCAAGGACAAAAATGTTGGGTGGAGGAGAAGGAGGTCCTTCTGCTGGAGGATGCAGTTGTCCTTGGAACATGCTCCTGCATCTGCTGCTGTTCAGCTCAGCATTTGTCTTAATATTTTCTTGTTCCTAAATATATCCATCTGCCTAATCCATTCAACCATCTAATTCTTTGATGGCTGCAAAGCTGTTTGTTGCAAAGCTCTTTGTTGACTGAGCCTGGATTTGGTTTTAATCATGTTTCTGCTTCTGAGCAGGTAAAAACTGCCCTGGTCTCCCTCACTGGGGTCTTGTGGAGGAAGTCATGAACTCTCCTCCTCCTCCCTCTCACCTCGGAGGTCCAACGACCCCCTGGGTCAGCCACCTTTCTTCTGGTCTCCTTAGCACCGTGCCAGGGTGAAAGGTAACATCTGCCTGGTGGCACATGGGACAGCTGGAGCAATGTTGCGACTCAGCAGAAGCCCGCCTCATCGCTCCTTGATCCTTTCTGTGACGGAGGATCCCTGGAGTCCACAGCCCAGCTCTTTGTTGGGTGGGATTGACCAGCAGTGAGGAATTAGTGGAGTAAATCACTGCTGGGTCTGCAGGCCTGTGACCAGGCAGAGACTTTCCGACTTCACTGCTGCCTGAGTTGAGGAGCAGTCGGACAGAAGGTGGAGCCCCAAAGAAGAAATGGGAGCAGGGAGTACCAGAGACAGGACCAGCTGAGGCCCAAGGCTCTTGACTCGTCCCAGCTCCCCAGAGGGTGGGTCTTGGGTGCCTGAGGAACCAACTGGGACACTTGGAAGTGGAGCCTTGGGGATCAGAGACAGGGAAGGGGGCAGCCCTGGCACCTGTACTAACCCCAAGATGCCATCTGTTATTTTCCTTCTGGAAAACAACCTAGTCTCCTTTTTTTCAAAGTAAACTTTATTTTTATAATTTTAGATTTATGGAAAACTTGTGGAGATAGTACCGAGTTCCCATAACCCCCTCCAACGGCTCGAATGTGCCCCTCAAATCTCATGTGTTGGAATCATAACCCCCAATGCCACAGTGCTGGGAGGCGGGAACTTTAAGGGAGGATGAGGTCATAAGGCTCCGCCCTTGTGGATGGACTGATGTTGTCCCAGGAGTGGGTTGTCATAAAAGCAAAGTTGGCCCCCTGTTGCTCCCTTGCATGTGTTCTTCTGCCTTCTACCATGTTATGATGCTGCTAGAAGCCTCTCACCAGTTGCAGGCCCTTGCGGCCCTCAGAACTGTGAGAAATACACTTCTTTTCTATATGAGTTACCTAGCCTGTGGTGGTGTGTTACAGCAGCACAAACAGAAGAAGATACCCCTCATCCAGCTTCCACCATCGTCGACCTGTGACATTAGTATGGCACCTCTGTTTCCACCGATGAACTGGATGCCACTCCTCGCACTCTGAGGGGAGGCTGGGAAGAGAAGGCACTGCGGCTGTGGTGGGAGCAGGAGAAAGGCCCCAAGCCCCCCCGCGAGGTGAGCTGTGGGGGGCAGGAGACACAGGCGCCTGGCAAGGCAGGCTCAGGCCAGGCCTCCTCTCTTGCCAGCTGTTTCCTGCAGGCCCAGCGCCGGCCTTGGGAACCCCACCATTGCCAGCCCCACTTGCCACCCTCCCACCCCAGCCAGACTCCTTCTCGTCTACCCCTGCTCAGCCCCAGGCAGTCCCCATGAGTCAGTCCCTTCTGCCCTTTTGTCATCTGTGGTGGCCTTCTGGGCCAGGGTCTGGAATAAACGCTCCCTTCTAGAAGACACTCCTGGCTGCAGTCGGGATTTCTCTTTGTTCTGCCCAGAACACCTGGCTTGGACTTGGCTGTCCCCGACTCCCCTTCCTTCCCAGCCTCTCCCCTCATTCATGGCCTGTTAGCATTTCCGTCTGCAGAGAGCTGCTGACCTTCTCCCAGGGTAAATGCCCGGGTATCGTCCAGGAGGCGTTCTGGACTCTCCCAAGCATCGGAGTGTCCCAGTTGTCTCCTAGATCTCCCTGAGGGCAGAAAAGCTGCGGAGGACGCCCCTGGTGTCCACCTTTCCTTGTGCTTGTACAAAGACTTTCCCCATCCTCACTTCCTCCTGTCTGCACAAGGAAAGGGACAGAGCAGATCTCATTCTGTTTTATTATATATGATCTGCAGAAAGGAGGTCTCACTCAGTCGCCCAGGCTGGTCTCGAACTCTTGGCCTCAAGTGATCCTCTCACCTTGGCCTCCCAAAGAGCTGGGATCACAGGACGGAGCCACCACGCCCAGCCTAATATTCTATTTTAGAGAGCAGAAGACAGAGACTCAGAGTTAAACACCTTGGCCCATGTCCCACGGGTGGTCAACCATCCCATTAGATGCTTCTGTGGTCCCTTATATCACACCTCCAGGGCCTTAGGACATTTGCAATTTTATGTTTTACCTATGTCACAACTTGAATTCTATCCATCTTTCCCGTAAGTTCCATGAGAACAGGGGACAGAGCACTACATTGCCCACTACTGTATTCCTCGCGCCTGTTACATACAAGATGCTCAATACATGTTTTAAAATTATTGAAAAAATGACTGCACTATAGGCAGAACATTCATTCATACATTCAGCAATGGATTGTCAGCCATGTTGATGAGTCCTGGGGATAAAAGATAAATAAGATAGAGGGCCCACTCTGGAAGAAATGAGTCTTTGGGGGAAGATAGACTTGTCAATTTTTTTTTTTTTTTTTTGAGTTGGAGTCTCACTCTGTCACCCAGACTAGAGTGC